TGTGAGTATTGTCTGTCTATGCTCTGTGTGCTCCATGTGTGTTCTCTGTGTGTGTCTGTGCTCCATGTGTGTGCTCAGTGTGCTCTCTGTGAGTGTATTCTCTGTGTGAGTGTGTGCTCTGTGTTCACTCCATGTGTGTGCTCCATGTCCATGTGTGTGCTCCATGTCCATGTGTGTGCTCCATGTCCATGTATGTGCTCCACGTGGCTGTGTGTGCTCTTTCTGCCTGTGCTTCATGTCTCTGTGCTCCACGTGCTCTGCTCTGTGGGCAGTGCATGTGCCACACTTTGTGTGTGCCCTGCCCATGGGACAGCCCAAGGCAGCAGAAGCCTCACTAAATCCTGGTTTGTTTTGCTACAGGTGACTGTGGGCCACTGCCAAATATCAGCCATGCAGAGCCCCCAGAGGATGTGAAACACCAGGAAAGCTTCAGCATTGGCTCCACAGTGAGGTACAGCTGTGTTACAGGGTACATGAAACGTCCCTTGCTCCCTGACCTGATCCAGTGCCTCGAAACCTCCCAGTGGTCCAACCTCCAGGAGTTTTGTGGCCGTGAGTGTTTCCCTTTCTCTGAAACGAGTTGCCTGGGGATGCACACTGCTTGTGAAAACCTTTACTGCTTTGGCAATCGCTGTTACAGGCATTTCCTCATCCCAAGTGACACATGATGAAGTCACTTGGCCAAGAATCTCTTACTGCCCCTTTTTCCTAACTCCACTTAGGCTGTGCTGGCACTTGTGTTAATAAAAACAGATCCATAGCTTGGGAAGTGCAGGGAAGAGGAGAAAGACCACAGAGGCAAAGCACTGGCAGAGCTGACTCGTGACCAGAGGGTTAACCAAAGGCAGATTTTCGTAGCTGCATAGTTTCAAAAAGGAGATTTGGCTTTGGGGATTTGGCAGCCTCCTCAGTGAGAACTGGCTGTGCTTCCCCAGCTCAAATGCTTCACTGGTGGAACTGGCAAAGGAGGTAAGCACTGTGCTTGGGAATGATTGAAAAGATGCTTCACTGGTGGAACTGGCAAAGGAAGTAAGCACTGTGCTTGGGAATGACTGAAAAAGAGAAAAGTTTAACATTTAAATCTTTCTCCATTAGACAGTCATCTGGGGATGTCTTTTCATGGAATCACAGACTGGCCTGAGTTGGAAGGAACCTTAAATATCATCCATTTCTATCCCCTGCCATGGGCAGGGACACCTTCCACTAGATTAAGTTGGTCCAGCCTGGCCTGATGGAGCAGCCAGGGATGGAGCAGCCACAGCTTCTCTGGCCAACCTGTGCCAGTGTCTCAGCACTTCACAGGGAAGATCTTTTGCCTAAAATCCAATCCAGCCCTGTTCTCTGTCAGTGTGAAGCCAATCCCACTTGGCCTGTCACTCCATGCTCTTGTAAAAAGTCTCTCTCCATCCTTCTTGTCGCTTCCCTTCCTGTTTGATTACACAAATCACCTTCTTAAAGCTATTTGTGGTGTCCATATTCCTAGCAAGGCTTGTGCATCATCACTTGGATTCACCTTTATACGTAGTTAAATGCAAAATCCTGTTATTTTTGCTTTGTAACTGGACACTTGGGTTGTCTCTGTTGTTGCAGGTAGCTGTCACGTCCCTCGACACGTGAGATTTGCTCAGATCTCACAGGAAGATCAAACAAAGAATTTTTACCCTGTTGGTACCACAGTGAAGTACATTTGTCGCTTAGGCTTTGAGAATACCACAGACCAACTCCCCAACAGCACCTGCCAGGATGACTTAACGTGGTCAGAAGTCCCTGAGCTGTGCCAGAGTGAGTGTCTCCACATCATTTCAGTGCTCTGAGTGCCACATCTGTACTTTAGAACTGCTCTCTTAAAATGACATTTAACACCTTCAGTTGCCTGGTTTGACATTGTCATACTGTCAGGCAAACTAAGCCTGTGGAGATTTTTTTCCCCATCCTCATAGTGACCTAAGGATAATCTCACTCTTTTTTTTTTTCTTTTTTTTTTTTTTCCCCAGGGAAGTCTTGTGGTATTCCAGCAAGTCCAGAACATGGCAAAGTTATCACAAATGATTATCTGTTTGGTGCCAGAGCAAATGTGGTGTGTGACAGTGGGTGAGTGTGGAGGCAGCTGCCCACTGCATCCCAGTTGCCCAGTCAGAGTCACTGGTGTGTGAACTGGGACTCTGCCCGTGGAGTCCTTGGCACCTCTGTGGTGACATGTTCGTGGCTGGTGACAACAAACTGGTTTTGGGATGTGCCTTTTCCCCCTGCAGGTACATACTAAAGGCAGCATCACCTCTCATCTTTTGTACCCTACGGAAAGGAGAAGTTTCCTGGGGTCAAATTCCAGTGTGTCAGGGTAAGTGAAGTCGT